CGAGGGCAGAGCAGCGGGGCGGGCTGGGGATGCGTCCGTCCCTGCTTCCCTCCCGGGCCAGGACAGGGCCTGCGGGGACCCGGCCCTCTCGCCCGGGAAGCCCACGCCAGGCGATGCCGGGCTCTGTGGCCCCTCCACGGGGCGAACGGGAGCCTGCCCAAGGTGATCCCTCGGCGCTGGGGGTTCCCCAGGGCCGGTGGAGGTTTGGCCGGGAGAGACTAGGCAGCAGGGCCGGCGTCACAGCCTCTGCCCCTCGGGCTTGTCCCACTGGGCTGCTCCCCGGGCTGGGTGCTGTCCCCCACCAGGTTTGTGCGGGACCAGCCCTACAAACCTCCTGCCAATAGCAGCCACCAGCGCTGGCCATTTCCCTGTGGGACGGATGGTTCTGCCTGCCAGGTGCTGCGTGGCATCACAGCCGTGAGCAGTGGGGGGCACCGGGCGCTGCAGGGCGCTCGGGGCCATGGGTCCTGGCAGCTGCCAGCTGTGTCTCCTGCCGTGGTGTCATCTCCCCGCGCTGGAGCCGCAGGGGCTGTTGTGGGGGCTGCTCCCCAGCTGTGGCCTGGAGCAGGGCTGCTGGCCGGCAGGGCATCACACTGGGAGAGCGGGGCAGGAGAGCGTGCTGGGAGGCAACATATCTTCAGCCAGGGCCCTTTCCTGGGGGTCCGTTCATCGGGGCTGTGTCCCTGTCAGGGCATGCAGCTAACGGAGCACAAGGGGTGGATCTGGCCCCTGCTCAGGTGCCTGGCCGCCAGCCCCGGAATGTGCTCCGACCGGTCTGGGCGCAGCAGGGCCCTCGCTGCTCCCCCCGCTCAGGTGCACCGCCTGGCTCCGTGTTCCCGGGCTCTGGGCCAGGAGCTGCTCTGCTGCAAAGCCCCAGTTGTCCCGGGGCAGGGTCTGCCACGCAGCTGGGACAGACGGACTGCTGCTGCGCCCCGGAGATTTGTGAGGGGCAGGGGAGAGCCATCTCATTTCCAAAACGTGTGAGCCATGGGCCGAAGGGGTGGGAGGGAACGCACTGGCCGCGTTCCAGGGTTGGGAGCAGGAGCTGGGGCCGGCTCCTCTGGGACGTGCGGCTCCGCCGGGAGCTTTCTGGGAGGCAGGAGGCTGCAGGCAGGGCCAGGGTGGCACATCCCAAGGGACTGCCGTGCTGTGGCTGCAGAGGCTGCTTGGTGCATGCAGCTGCCAGCGCGGGACCAGCTGCCTGCTGTCTTCTGCCTGCTCCCTGGCTGTCGGGAGCTCAGCCCAGGCTTTGGCCCTGTGGGGTCCTGGCTTGGGAAACCCGGGGTTTCCCTGGCTGAGTGAGAGTCCCAGGATGCTGGCCACAGGGGGGTGGTCTCTGTCTCTGCCTAGTCCCTGGGGCTCCCTGGGCTCCAGCGGCACGTCTGTGTCCTTGCAGGCCCTGAGGATGTCGGACGGGATCATGAGCAAGGCTGCCACCATGGAGATCCCCATCAGCAGCAACGGGGACACGGGCAGCCTGCCGGAGGATGACGGCTTGGAGCAGGTTTGTAGCTGGGGCTGGGTGGGGACGTGCCGGACTCCCAGGTGTTGCTTTCCAGGCCGGGCTGCTCTGCTGGCTCTGCCCCAGGCCCTCTGCGTCAGGGCCGTGCCATCCTCTCGGCCATGCGTCTTGGCTCTGCGCCTCAGCTGCCTGTGCTCCTCCTTCTGCTCCAGGACCTGCAGCAGGTGATGGTGTCAGGGCCCAACCTCAACGAAACCAGCATCGTCTCTGGTGGCTACGGGGGCACAGCTGAAGGCATCATCCCCACCAGCACCATCAAAGGTAGGCCAAGCCGTGGTGCAGGCTCACATGGACGGGGCTGGGGCAGAGGGGGAAAGCTGGGGTTGCCTGCCGAGGGCAGTGCTGCTCCTTGCGCGACGGCAGAGGTGGGAGGGAAAGGCTGCGTCGCGGGAAGGACGGCACAGCTCACCTTGCTGCCCGCTGGCCTGTGGGGAAGGAGGCGTGCTGCTCAAGCCGCAGGGCCCGGGAGCCCGGTCCTGCCGGGGCACAGCCTGCGGTGGTGCCAGGCAGGGAGGGTCTTGTGTGCGTCCGCGGGCAGAAGCTCTGTCTCGAGCCTCGACTCGAGCTGGGCTGTCACCTGGGCCCCACAGCGTGTTCCCTCCCTGGTCCTGACATGTGGTTCTGCCTCAGCCTGGCCGTTTGGGACAGCGGCTTCTGCCAGTGCAAGGCAGCTCCTTCCCCTTCTTCCCTGCTGGGCGTGGGTTCTGCTGACAGGCTGGCAGACGCGTGCCCCTGGCAGAGCCTGGCTGCCTCAGAGTGGAGGGGCTGCTGCCCCACTAACCCCGCTCTTCCCGCGCTCCCCGCACGGGGGAACTAACGGGGGGGGGC